AAAAAAAAAAAAAGCACCAACTTTATAATAATAGAGCCAACTTTTTCTAGCCTTTTTTTTTCAAACAAAAGATGAAATATAGCCATGTTTTAGAAAAATATGAAATATAGTCATTTTAAGGGTGAAAAGTACAATTGTACCCTTATTAATGTTTTACCTACCAAAGCTATTAAAAAAATAAATAAAAAGAATTCACTCATCTCCTTTCTCTCCATTGTTATGCGCGTGCTTCTGTAAACAAAAATAAAAAATAAAAATCTCATTTTCCTCAAAATTCACTTAAAAGTGATCTATTTTCAAATATTATCTCCAACACTACCAAGTAAATCCTTTTTGAGAAGAAAAAAAAGATACATGAACATAAACCTAATTTTGTTTTTTTATTAATTTAATTAAAAAATTATTGAACAGATTTAATATTTTTGTTCGCAAAATTATTGATTTGTCTAGTAACAATGAGCAATTTGAGTTGAAAGCGCCTTCAAAGCGGATTTTTTCTTCCTTTTTGCTTTCCATTGAGTGTAACATTCCGGGTAATCGCCTGGTCCCCGCGTGTTTCCAAATTGATGTTTCAATTACATCAAGCCTGATTGTTCACAATGAGAGTGAGACTTTATTTTGTTGAACTCATATTTTGGAGTTAAAAAAATAGAGTTTTTGTGCTTAAAAAAAAAAAGGTTGTGTTTTGGAGTTCATGACTTTTGTTGTATTGTTGCTTGAGCTGTTTTTTTTTTTTTTTTTTTTAGTTTAGAAGATGAATTAATGGTTTGTTGAAGATTAAACAATTTCTTGAACAAAACCATAGTTTGTTCAAGAAATAGGTTTCTTGAGCAAAAAACGAGTTTCTTGAACAAGAAACCCGTTTCTTGTTCAAGAAACCTGTTTCTTGACTAAGAAACTATGGGTTTGTTCAAGAAACTATTTTTTGTTCAAGAAACCTATTTTTGCCCCCAAGAAACTGGTTTCTTGCGCAAGAAACGAGTTTCTAGAGCAAGAAACCCGTTTCTTGAGCAAAAAACTCTATTCTCAAGAAACCTGTCCATTTCTTGCCAAGAAACCGGTTTCTTGCGCGAAAAAACTGTTTCTTGAGAAAAATTTGTTTCTTGAACAAGAAAATGTGTCTTGTATTCATATATTTTTGTCCAAACATATTTAAAGGTAAAAAAAAAGTTGAAGAAAGTATTTGTACTAAGATTTTGGTTTTTACATAATTTTTTTTTTTTCAGATGGATGTTGGTAAAGTGCGAATTGTTCACATTGGCTTTTGGGATGAGAATGTGTACAAAAATGGTGAGACAGAGATGAACTTTTTTTGTCTTAGGACCTCATCATATGAAGCTTTCATGAATAGAGTTCATGACATTGTTCGTGGAGATATAAGCATGTGCGACTACCGATTTCACTTCTTAGTGGCCGGTGATAGCGGAGAGATGGAGAAATGACGTATCTCTTGTGAATCAGATCTGCAAAATGTTTCTGCCATGTTCACAATACCTACTACCTATGTTACACTACAACCGAAAGATAGTCCAGGTCCGTATAATCAGGCGAGTGTACCAACGTACCCTTCGTATGGCTATACCGGGGGACAAAGTGGGTTTATGAATTTAGTTGCTACTCAGGGCCCACCTCTCTATCCATATGGTGTTGTGTATCCACCTATAATGAACTTAAACGGTCAAACATCAACATCTCAACCGGCGAACAATTACAACCCAGTGCCTGACACCACCAGAAGGATGGAGTCAAATCAACCCGGTGCCTCACGTCAATCTTCCGAACATGTCGATTGGGGTGTGGATAGCGCCATAGCGGGTTCAATGGGGATTCAACTAGGAATGATGAAGGTGATGATGACGAGCAATATTGTGATGCTTACAATAATGAGATGAACATCAACGATAATCCTGGCAATGATGATTTCCTCAATGAGATGGATGATAGCAATGACGATTCAAATTTCATTATTGAAGAAGATGATATGATTGTCTCGGAAGATGGTGAAGATGGCGACTACAATGTTGTGCCTCCCTCAAACATGATGGGTGGTTTAAATGAGCAAATTCTACGCAACAAGAAGAGTATAGCGATCCACAATGAAATGAGATAGCACCGTGAAAATGAGGAAATGAGATGACTCGTGTGACCCGCTGGAAGAGATGAGCAGAACTCTACTCGACGGAATGAATGAGATAGCACCGTGAAAATGGGGAAATGAGATGAGTAAAATTTTTTGAAATTGGGAAATGAAATGGAGAGCCCGGTTCTTGTGTTTTGAAATTGGGAAATGTAATAAAAATTGAAAAAATAAAAAAATGGTGTGTAAGGGAAGTTAGGTCTTTTCCCAAACCCAAATGGCTATATTTCATTTTTTTTAAAAAAAAATGGTTATATTTCATCTTTTGTTTTGTTTAAGTGCTATAAAACACCATTACCACTTATTATAATAATATGTATTCATATATATTACAAAATTTGGGTAACCAAGTAACAACACAACCTCACATCAATTTAAAGGTCACACAACACTCAACGCTAAACTTATATTTGTTTTTAATTCGACAATTAACCCAGCTTGTTGCAAAGCGCCAATGCATTGCTAGTCAACTGGACCACAATACCCATCTTGGCCTGAATCTTGGACTTGATTTCACCGTTTTGGGCCCCGTCCGAGAACCCGTCGGTGCATGTGCTCTCATCGGTGAGCGCAGCACTAACCCATGTCTTCAAATTACTCATGTGCCACGAGAAGTCTCCCTTGTCCAACTTCTTCAGCTCCGTCACCGAGTCATTCAACTGTGATACTGTATTCCCCATCTCCTTCAAGCAGTCCTTTACGGCACCACTCTCTCTTGAACTAAGCCTATCTGACTTCGCGAGTTTGGCCAAATACGATTCGGTTTCCCGGGCCGTTTTGACACTGATGGATAGGGCCATCATGGCTATTAGCCTCGGGCTTTTCTGAATTTTCCAAGCATAGGGTTTTAGCGATTTATAACACAAAGTGGAGTATAGAGTGGCATGGCACGAGGCATTTATGAAATCGGTGGGCATGGCGGCCGTCGTAGACAGGCTTAGAGCGTATAAGAAAGAGAGGAATATAAGAGACATTTTGAGAGTTGCCATGTTTGTTTTGTAGCCTTTTCCTTGATTTTGAGGGAAAATAATATTGAATTGCAATCTCTTTCGAGATGAGATTGATTATGGATGAGAGTGTTCTAACAAGGGATATATATTAATTGCCCTTTTCTCCATAGTGAGAAAAAATCAAAAAAAGGTCAAACATGCGAGCACAAATTAGGCCTCAATTTTTTACATGATTGCATAAATTAAGCCTCAATTTCCTAAAGTATTAGGTCAAAATTTTGCTTTCGGTTCAATTATGAATTGAAATTGCACTTGAATAATATGACGTCTTAATCGGACTTGACTATTTTTAAATTCACTTTAAAATCTTCCCCACATTGTTAAAGACTTAAAGTGAAAAATATTCAGAAAATATTTTTATAATATTTGGCTTCCGTGGTGTACATTCCAAGTTGTTCTATAATATTTGATGTTCAAAAATAAAAAATAAAAAAAAAATCTGAAAATAATCAAATATATGTTTGTGTATATACTTTTTTAATTGTGTTTATTGCACCAAATCTCCATGTATTATATAAAATCTCTGTGTTTTTCCCTAGTATTTCAAAAATTGCGTCAAATCCCCTTGTATTTAATATATGCATGCATACTCGCCATTTGACGTTAACAACGTTAATTAATGCTGACGGCGTTACTTTTTCATCGAATTTATCATTATACCCTTACTTTATCATTGAATTT